CTCTCCAATGCCCTTTCTGTGCCCCCCCCCCCCCAAATTTCCCATTGTTCCTTGTCCTCTTGGCCACAGTTGCATCTAATTGCCACCCTGCTATCACACGTGTCATAGCCAATTCCCCAGCACTTTCATGTCATGGCCAGAGCTGTGGAAGTCCTTGGAAACCCCCAGGCCATTAGGCAGAAATAAATCCTTCCCACCAATCTTGCAAAATCCAGTGTTCCAGGGAGATCTGGAATCTGTGTTCCTTTAAAGCCAGGAGCTGCCCACATCCGCAGGAGGGGTGAGGAGTCAGGCTGACCACCAGCCTGGCAATAGCTGCCTCTGCAGCTCTCCTCAATTGGTACCTCAGTCTGTGGAGGGGAGATCATGGCTGAGCTTTATAATCCCTTCTTGGATCCCTTATGGTGGCCCCATTTCTTGTGCCAAGACAGTCTCAGTGCTCAGGTAGCAGGATAGTGTTACACTCCTTATAGTGTGTTTCTGTGATAACTTTGCCTCCTGCAGTGCTGCTCAGCCTGACTGGAAGACGTGGGAGGTCAGGGTGTGATGAGGGAAGGGCCAGAGGCACTAATTGATAAGGTAGCCTGGAGCTTCCCAGTCCTGCCTGCTTCTGATGCATACCCTTGTACTGGGGGTGGATGGTGGAGAGTGCAGAGGCCACAGGTTGATGGCGGGCTTTGTTCTCCACAGTCTCAGCGGACGAAGACTGCCTGTGGTACCTGGACAAGAATGGCTCGTGGCACCGTGGCTTTGACTGCGAGTTCTCCTTTTGCTGCGGCAATTGTTACCACCGCTACTGCTGCATTGACCCCATGAGGCTCATCACAGAGCGGCAGCAAAAGCACTGCCTCGCCTTCAGGTGAGAGGACCACAGAGCTGGGTGGCCCCCCTGCTCTATTCTACCCTTCTTCCACCATCAGAGCTATGATTCTTCTGCATTGAAGCATGAGGGAGATGGCACTCAGCTTCTTGCCCCTTGTGAGATTGGCTGTACTCTGGTGCAGGAAGAAGACAGTGCTGCTGGGTGTAAGGCATCAGTCCTAGCCTATGATCAGCTGCCCTTATTTCCAGGTTTTGGAGATATACAAAGGCCTTATGTGTGGGACATCTCAGCCCCTGTACTAGCTCCATTTAACTACTTGGGTGCTGACCATGAGCATATCTGAGCTCCTTTCACAGCAAAAAGATAGTAACAAAAGAGCAGCTTTCTCTTTCTTTCCAGCATGGAGGAGCAGGGCCCTGGCAGGCGCTTGGCTGGGGCTGAGTCTCTGTGTGTTAGGCGAATACTGTTGCATGTTGTCTTGGGTGCAGTTGCACAGCCTGGGCCTGACTCTCATTGCATAATCTCCTTCATTTGCAAGGTACCTTGTTTGTTAACAGCTACCTGGCTCTAGGGGTCATAGTTGTTGAGAAAAGTGATGGTGGCCCTAATACAGTGTGTTGTGAGTTATGGGCAGAGGATAGATTTGTGAGAATTTGGTCATTGGAGCCAGCACAGTACAACATGGGGCATTGGGGACTGTGTGTATGGTGGTCTTTTCTGCTAGGGTGCCATGATGCTGTGCTTTGTTCTAACTGAAACTTTTCCTAGCAGATCTGTTTGAGATTAGATCGGAGATGAGATGGGGGAGGAGATTTTCTGGCAAGAAAACAGGGGAGATCATTTGTATAAGTTGTTGGGGTGGGCTGGCTGGACCATGGCTATTTTGGAGATGGGGAAGTGGATACATGATCCTCTGGGAAGGAGGACATCATGTGTAACTGAACATGTAGGTAGTGATTGTCTGACTGGGGCTTGTGTTGTAGGGAGGAAGCATTTGGCCAAGGGTAAGGGCACGAGTCTTAGCTGCTCCATAGTAGGGACTGAGAGGAAATTAAGTGTTTTCCACCAGGAACAGCTCCAGATGGGTTGGGAACTACTTCAGTTAACTTCTCCTGAGCCAGGCATGGGTCACTCAAGCACTAAGTCAACAGGAAGGAAGCTGGGAGAGGACTGAATGCACGAGTAGCTGGATGGGCTGGGAGGGAGCTGTGGGCTGGGAGAGCTGTGAATGGGGAAATTGTGATATGATAATAGCAAAGTGAGCTTGTGTCTGATGAAAGAAGGCAAGCAGGGTTAAGGTTGGAGGCAAAGAGTACAGTGAGGAGGATGGAGTTGGTATGGATGGGGGTAGTGAGAAAGGGGAGGGGATTTGGATGTGGATCCTGGAATGTAGGGCTGAGTTACTCCCTTCAAGCTGCAGGTCTCCATGTGCAGCAAGCAGCTGGTATGAGTCTGTGCAAAATCTGCTTAGTCCAAGGGCAACTCTTGACCCTGTCCCTAACCCTTCCTGCTCGTGCCTCACAGCCCCAAGACCATCGCTGGTATTGCCTCTGCTGTGGTCCTCTTCATTGCTATCGTTACCACCATCGTCTGCTGTTTCATGTGCTCCTGCTGCTACCTGTACCAGAGACGGCAGCACATGCGGACACCCTTTCAAGGTAGGAGCTGGGGCTGGAGCCAGCAGGACCTCTGGAGGAGGGGCGGAGGGCACCAGGCTGAGAGAGCACCTGCGAAACATTGTCTTATTTTCTTTGTCTCTAGTTCAGGGGAAGAGTTGGGGCATGCATGGAGAGTTGTGGAATAAATGAGCACTGTCCTCTATGTGCCCTGACTGGGCGGGATCTTGTTGGGAAAATAGTGTCTGACCATGTACTTAAAAACTGCCTCACATGCATGCACTCCCCACAGGGAGGAATTCAGATGGCACAAACTTTGCCTGATGTTTGAGCACTTGATATCACAGCCTCAGACATGTCTTTTTCATAGCTTTTGTGCATGTAATGTCTCTGGTTTTAAAGAGTAAACTGACCCCCTCATGGGAACTCTTGTCACTTCACATCAGGTCAACACTCCCCCTGGGCCCTCAGCAGGACTGGGAGCTTTAGATCTACTGCGCAGGCCCCTGTCAGTCAAGCTTATGAAGTTAGTGGCACCAATAGTGGGTTATCCCCTAAACGGAGCCATGCTGGAAGGGGATGGGACACTTTGTCCGTGGCTATCTGCTGCGGCCCTGTGGAGGGGTTCACTCGGGAGCTGGTTCTGCAGCCCAGCAAAGCCCGAGTGTCAATGAGAGAGTCAAAGTGGTGAGTAGGCACTATGCACTGCTCAGGAAAGAGTTTCTCTCCCTTTAGAAGTGCTGTGGGAGGCCAAATCTAGTGGTCTCCCCATGGGGCACAGCCCTGGCCAGGGACACTGGTTGGAGCCTCGTCTATACAACTTTATTGCAGCTTCCTTTGCCAACCCTGTGGTGAGATGCGAGTGTAGCAGTGTGCTTGAGGCAGGGCCCAGGCCAAGTGGAAGCTGGCTGCATTAATTGCCAGGCCTGGATAGAAGCCTGCAGGTGGCTATTTTCCTCCCTTCGTTGTTTCCAGGGTTATGTCCCGGGGGACTGCCACTTCAGTACGCTCTGCAGGGGCTGGATAGTTTTGAGAGGGAAGGGGTCTCTGGGGGTGGCTTCCTGGGATCTCTTCATGGTGTGGTTTTATTGTTGGGTTTGGGGTTTTTTTTGTTTGGTGGGTGTCTCATGGTAGGTATTGTGTGAAGGGCCAGGGTAGTTTAGGAGTCTTGAGGGAGCTGTGGGGGCTTTCTGGTGGATCTCTTGGGAAATCTCAGGAGGAGATTGTGCTGGAGTTTCCCATGAGTGATTGTTCGCTGCACGGAGGGGCACTGTGAATTCTTTGGGCTGAGAGAGATCACCTTGTCTTTGTCCCACAGGCCAGGAGATCCCACTGTCCAGCTACCCAGCTCAGCCCCCAGTTATGTACCATATGGATCCCAAAGCAGGACCCATACCTCCACAACCAAACTATGCACCAGTGGCTGTTTATCCACCCACAGCCCCCTCTGCACATTATCCGATGTATCCAGCAGGCCCCCCACAGTACAACCCATCAGGTGAGAGTGGGAATGACTCTGAGATTTCTTCTTTGTCTCCCAAACCCAGGGTTTGGCGTCTGTGACCTGATCCCTCTGTCCAGAAGGGTTTATGAGCTCCCATTGTTTTTCATAGGGTGAGATCAGGAGGGGGTGCTTGGGGAGAGGGGAGGGGTTTCTTCCTTGCGGTAGGGGCTCTCCATGCTTTCTGGTCATCTTTGAAGACCTGGCTTCATGTGACTGTCCTCTACTCATGGATCTGCTTTGGCCCCCCTTGCACTGTCTTTGCCTGCTGCTCTCTGGGGTGAGCTGCCCCAGCTTCTGAGTGCAGGGCTCTCACCAGTCCCAGGAGAGCAGGCCTCCAGAGTGTGGCCTCTTCATTTGGCAGGAAGGCAGCAGCCCTAAAGAGGCTTTCTGTGGGGAATACCAGTCAGTTAAATCTTACCTGAGGACCAGGTCTTGCTTTAAGTCATGGTACCCTGTACAGGTTAAACTCTCAAATCTATCAGATCTGTGAGGCCTTTAGAGTAATCCTGTGGCGGTGGTACTTGGGGAATGCCAGCTGTAGCATATAAGGCCAGGCTCAACCCTGATTTCCTACTTCAGGATGCAGAAGTCAGATGTCCTGGCTCTGTGTGGGACTGGGGGTGACTTGGGGGCCTGCGTAGCTTGGTGCCAGCCTGCTGGTTGAGCAGAGATAAGCTGAGGCCCTGGCAATCGGCACAGAAGGGACAGGCCCCTCACCTGGGGAGCTGGGACTAGAGCCCACACCTTTGGCCCCCAGACATTGGCCTGAGCTGCAGGCAGCTCCTATAGCAGGTCCCTATAGCAGATGGGCAGGGCTGGCACAGCTGAGAGAGCAGTGTCTCCCACCATCTCCAAGTGCCTTAGCAGGGCCTTTCCTCCTCTAGAGTAGTAGGGAGTGCTCTCCCCTTTGCTCCAACCTGCTGAATGACACTGTCCCTTTCTTCCTCCCACAGCACCTCCTCCCTACGTCCCTTCACAGCCAATGTACCCTGGAGCCTGAGGAGACCAGAGAGAGACTAGAGTAAGCACATTTTCTCCAGGCCTGCAGCTTTGACGGCTTCTCTGCTGCATTGTACATGTGTATTGTGCTGCGTTGCCAGCTGGCCCAGACCTGTGCATGGTCCCCAATGCCAGCCATTTCTCATTGTCCCATTTTCCACCTCACCAAGTCATCTGCAAAGAGCAGGACCACAGGCCCTAAACACCCCTCTTCCTCCCTGCTTTACTGAGGGGGCTTCTGGCTCTCCCTCCTGCTTTCCAGGCCAGGAAATGACCACAAGATTTCCAGCACAGGATCAGGTTTTCCAAGCTCTGCCCCTGGCTTGGGCCTTGCCTATGAGGGAGGGGAGGTCTCTGGGGAAAGCCTTCATCATCTACTGCTAACAGGGGCCTGTGTTGCTCCCTCCCAGGGTAACATTAACCCTTTAGATGGGGCCCTGCCAGCCCTGATTGCCGAAACAGAGGGGTTGAGGAGTTCAGCTTGGGGCAGCGAAGAGACCGTGACCCACAAGAGATTGTGGTCCTCCCCGTTCTCTCGGTAGCATTTCTTTCAGGGGGCCCAGAGTGCTCAGCATCTGGATGGTGGGGGCTCTTGGTTCTGGTTGGTGCTGGCATGGCTCTGAAGCTACTTCCTGCCTCATGCTGGGTATGGGCATGGGGGAGGGCTGGTGCTGGTGGTGCTGAGATGGTTGCAGGTATTCTGTTGCATCAAGCCTTCCTGTTCCATCAGAAGAACCGTTGAATGTAGGATGGGCGACCTTCTGGGTTTGCAGGTTTTGTCATGAGGCCCCGAGGGGCTGCAGAACAGCCTCCCCCACAGTGTTCCCTGCTCCGGGGAGTGCCCCAGCCCTCTGGGCCACAGGGACATCCATGGCAACTGTCAGATCACCTACATTTAACTTGGATCCTCCCCTGTTCCCACTGAGCTCCATCTCCATCCAGGTTTCTCCGCTGAGTAGGGCCACACTGAAAAGGCAATAAGGTTTGTGCATGGCGTGGGATTTCCTCCTGTTCTCTCACCTCCCTGAATGCCATCCTCTGCCCAGGCTATTGGCTCTTAGGGGCACTTCCCTCTAACCCCCACCCTTGGCAGAGAGTCTAAGGTAGCTAATTCTCCCCCACAGTCTCTCTCATCCCTCATGCTTCTGGTTCCTACCAGTTCCCCCTTCCCAGAAGAGGATCCAGCACCTTCCCACCCTGGTGGGCCTGTGTTCCTTGCATTTGCCCACCTGAGGTGGCCATGACCCTGCTGGAGTCTCAGGTGAGCTAATGGGCTTACCAGGTGTCCCTTTGCTTCCATTCCTTAGCTGCTTTAACAAGCCATATCACCCTGTGGGCCACAGCTCTCTGGCCTGGCAAGGGAGGTGGTGTTTGGAGAGGCCGCAGTACATACATACAAACACAAAGGCAGCACTTGTGCGAGGAATGTGCTGCTCTAATGCAGCTGCACACTGGCTCCTTTGTGGAACAAGTTCCCTGTGCTGCAGCCCCCTAGGGAGGCTCCCCATGAGCTCAGTCCTCATGGGTAGTGGGGTCAATGGCCTGATTGTGAGGGGGCAGCCTTACGTTGCTGGCAGGATCTCGCTCTCAGAGCAGGGGTCAGCTCCTCTGCAAGTGGTCGCAGGGTCAGAATCTGATTTGCCCCAGAGCCAGGTCTTGTAGGTATCCTGGCCATCGTTCTCCCAACATGTGGGACATGAGCCTGGTGCAAAGGCCCTTCTGTCTCCAGCTGCAATAGGAGGGACACCCACAGGGCAGGGTGGGGGCTCATGTAGCAGTGACCACATGAGGGTTTTGTTGTGCCGTTGCTGGATTGACCAGGGCTTAATAGGCCGCCTCCTGTTACAAGAAGTCCCCTTTGCCCTAGAAGAGCACATGGGTAGGGACTGGAGCTGCTGGTACAATCATGAGAGACGCATGGGAGCTGGGGACAGTGCACTGACCGCATGGCAGCCCCTGCTGGTTCCCTGGTGCCTCCCTCACCAGGCCGAGCAGGCTTCTCTCGCTGCTTTTGGAGTTAGGGAGTCGGAGTTGGGAGCATCAAAGTTCTGCTCCCAAATGTCATGTGGCTCTGGCTCTGTTGACCCTGTGACAATCCATCACAGTGAGCTGGGGAACCCCCTGCTTTCTGCCTCTGGGGAGTTGTCATTGCTGTACTCTCAGTGATCTGTAGTGAGGGTTGGGGCAGGCTTGGCCCCAAATGGCTTGGCGGGTAGTGGCCAAGAGGCTCATACCTGAGCTGCCCTGGGGGACTGGACTGGCAGCTTCAGCCTATCCTTCCAGGGGGGGATGATGAGACTTTCCTTAAGAACCCCTCACATGCATTCATCAGCCTCATGCTTCCTGACTATGCACCCGGGAGAGGGGGAGAGGACACATATATCCTACTCAGTAGGGCAGGCTGGAGAAAGGCTCTACCTCTACTTCTGGTCAGGCTGGTCCCTTCCCAGTCCCGTCAGCTCTTCTGCAGGCTTCAGAGAGCCTGTGGAATAAGCAGTAGGTATCAGTTGCCACCTTGGCTGTAACACCAGTGTGTTGGCTCTGAGCAGTCCTGTCCTGCTGTCTGGGGTTACTTGGGCTCAGGGTCGTGGTCCCTCCTATTTGGGTTCATTGTATTTGCCTAGTCCCTAGGACTGGTGGCAGGACAGTGAAGCAAGGAGTGCAGTATTTGCCTTAATGCCCTGCCCCTATCTCCTGTTTCCATGAATCAGACCTGCTGCCCTCTCTGCCCCTGCTGCATCAGATCCTGACCTTGGCAAGGCTGCTGTCCCATCAGTGGCAACACTTGGTCTTGATGCCTCAGAGCAGATACTCTACCCTACTATGTAGCACCGTCCTTTGGTTATGTCCTGCCCTTAAGCATGGCGCTGTCCCTTTTCCTCAAAACACAGCTGAAGAGAGGCATTGAGCTGCCCTGTTACCCTGCATGCAGTGTATTGGGCTGCCCTTTCACAGTGTGGAGTCTGCTCTTCCTTGCTGCCCTGAGTCATGCAACAGCTGAGGCCATGCTGTGTCCTAGCTGGAGCCACACATGCTTCTGTCCATGTTCCCTGAAACCTGTGGAAAAGCTGTAAATAGAAATGAGCTACCTTGTTAAATGTGGTAGAGTGCTTTGGTGCTGACTGCTGGCCACAATGTCACACCCAAGTTAGGATGTTGCACCTATTCCCAGTGGCAGTCCACTGCTCTTCAGCTTGAGGCCAACGTGCATGCCTCCAGTGCTGCCCTCTACTGGGCTAAACTTAAGTTAGAGCAAGGATCATTATCATCATCATCCACCCTGGCCAGCTGCCTAAATCAAGCCACAGGATTACACCCATTGGCTTCTGCATCAGGACTATACCTTGTGGAGGTGCTAGCAGTGGATCCTAAACTTCATTGGTTCCTGTGCCATCTTCTTTAAAAAAAAAAAAAACTGATTTGAAGTGAACTGATGGCATATCAAGTTCATATCCTACCAGTGAAGCTTGTGGAGCCTCCAGGCTAGAGCATATCTAGAAAGATATGCCTGGTCTTGATTTAAAGACTGCAAGTGATGCACTGTGCCCCAGGCATGTTGTTCCAAAGATAATTATTCTCCCTGTTTAAAATGCACACTTTAACTCTATCTAGTTTTAAATATTTCTAGCTTCTGCTTCCAGCCCTTGGACGTTGCTTTGTGTTTCTTCTGCTTTGCTAATGAGCTCACCACCAGCAGAACATTCTCTCCCCTGCAGGAACTTGTAGACTAGGCCAGCTCCTAAGCTGTTCTTCAGTAAGCTAATGGAAACAACTCATTGGTGCTGACCTCTCATCACTCTTGTCCTTCTCTTCTGACTCTTTTCTAAGTTTTCAGCATCCTTTTGCAAGGGAAAACAGTGTTTTAGTCATAATATCATGCCACCTACCTGCCTGTACCACTCAGGATTCCTACCTTTACATCCCAGGATTATGGGAGCCCTCTTAGGCACAGCAACACAGTAGAACCTAGGCTCATGTTCAGTTGTTTCCACCATGACGTTGTAGGCACTGCTTTCTGGGATACAGTTCCCCATCCTATAAGTGTGACTGACTTTCTTTGTTCCTAGATGCGTGATGGTGCATTGACTGTATGAAACCAATGTAAGGTTGTGCTTAACAACACTCAACAAACTGGATCATTCTGTATCAGTGACCTGCTTTCATCATTACTTACCAGTCTGCCAGTGGTTGTGTTGTCTGCAAAATTATCCAGCAATGATATTATTGTTTCTTCTGTATCATCAGTAGAGATCTAGAATAGCTTTGGGCCAGGATCAGACCCCTGCAGGACCCCATAGGAAACGTTCTCACTGGTTCAAGTTCTTCATTAACAATAATATTGTGAGATCTGGCAGAGGGCTGGGTAGTTTTGCACCTTACAGACTGACTAAAGCAGAGATGCATAAGGTTTCATTGATCTACCAATAGTCTATTTTCCATCCATTTAACATGGACTGTAACAACTTTGTATTGTACTGTTTTTTAATCAGAATATTGGTCTAATTAAAAGGTGGTACTGAGTTAGACTCCTTACAGAGATCAATAAATACCTAAATTTGTAATCCCAGTAAAGAACTACCATATTTGTTTGACAAGACCAATTTTCCATGAAAATCAGTTGAATAATGTTAACTTAATACCTCTTGTTTCTTTATTGATAGGATCCTGTATCAGCTGTTCCATGCTTTTGTCCAGGATCAGTGTTAAGCTAACCAGCCTATGGGCATCAGGATTGTTCTGTTTTGTTTTTTTTTAAGGATCAGCATATCAGTTTTCTGGAGTTGTTAAAAAATTAACATTAGCAATTTGGAGAACTCCACGGCCAACTCCTTTAAAACTCTTGGGTGCAATGTATCTGGACCTGCTGATTTAAATTTATGTAACACAAGTAGATGGTATTTAACTTTTCTTCTTAATTCCTGTATTTCATTCTTTTGTGCAATATTGATACGTTGTGCAGCGTGGCTTTAAATACAGAAAAGAAATATTTATTGATGTCCCTACCTCTTTTACATTGACATTGTTAATTCCACTGTCTCCAAAGAGTCTCAGGCCTCTGCCATTGTAAAGATCCTCTTTGTTCCTAATATATTTAAAAATTCCTCCTAGCTGTCCTCAATAGCACTGGCTGTGGCTTTACCAATGATCTGTGGCATTGCATCCATGCTTACATGTCTGCACAATACCCCCTGCTGTCCGGGCAAACTTAATGCATACCTGTGCCATTGTGTGAAGGAGCTATGCCAGTTGTACTGACTCACTTGTCTACTACTGGATGGCCCAGAGTTTATCCATTTCTGCCACGCAGTATACTGGATCAGTTATTGAATGGCCTAGGCTGATAGCCTGTCTGTCTCTGGTAACATGGCCAAAAGCAGAGGCTTCCAGGAGAGAGCACCTTGCACCACACTGGGAAATGTCTTCCCCATGCCTTTTGGGGATCAGTTTTGTACCTTGAAGCTTGAGGGTTCTGGGCTGTAGATCCAAGGGGCTGAAGTTGCCTTCCTGAAGCCCTTAGTGAAGCATCTGTGCCCCAAAAGCTTTGACTATGTTGCAGTGACAGGTCCAGGGACTTGAGCATGCCTTACTGACCCAAGTCTGCAGGCACTGTCCAAATCACCAATGTCATTGAGGCTGCTCCAGGCCTGTCTCCAGCACCTACTCTCAGGCCTGCTGGAAACCAGGGCCTTGGGAGCAAGTGCAGAGGGGTGAACAGCCTCAGGAGGTTTGGCACATGCGAGTACTGGGCTGGTCAGGTGTGGTCAACCCCCCTGGTGGCAGGATAACCACATAGGGGTGAAGACCGGTACTAAGAATATCCAAGATTTAGGACGCCTTGTTCTCAGCACATCATAGTGATTAGCCTAGGCAGCTCACTACTCACCATCCTCACTGTTTTGGATCTCATGCTGCAGGGCTGATCTCTCCCCCTGCACTACTGGGGAAACTCGCCCTCACTCAAGGTTCTGGGACCAAGGGCCTAAAACGGAGGCAGTGCATTTCATTCAGGATCTAGGTCCAAGTCTTTTTGTGCCTCTAGCCCAGTGGTTCCCAACCTCTTTTTGCTGCGACCTGCTGCTGGGAGTGGAATGTGGGATGGGGGCAAGGGAGCTCCTAGCATGTGGTGAGCTCATCCTTAGTGGGTGGCACCACCGGCATTGCCTCCGTGACCCCCATTTGGGTCGTGGCCCAAGGTTGGGAACTGCTGTTCTAGCCCTTAACCCTATTGCCTCAAAGCTGCTTAGGCACCTATTATAGCTGTGAATATTGTCTTGCAAAAAACATGGGTGCTGACAGAACCAGGCAACAATTTTGAAGACATCAGGGACACCTAACTACCACACTTATAGACCTGAGCACAGTTGAGGATCTGGGTTGTGGAGACTGACATCACTGTACACAAGCAGCTGGTGGCCTGTCTGAGGAAGCTAAGGCCAGCAGCACTACAAACAGTGCAGGGGGCAAAATCATAGGACTCCTATACACGTGCAGGGAGGCTGCTCCAATGCGCAGTTATTACAGCACATTGGAGCAGACTTGATAAACTGAGTCTGGAGCATAGTAATTACTGGGCATCATTACTGGAACACTTTACCTAAAGTTTGTTTGACGAACTTTAGGTAAAGAGCCCCCTCTGCCATTTTGGTTTGGGGGCACTGATACATGTGACAGTCTAGGTGCTTTAATTAGCATGGCTCTCGGAGCCTAAAGCACCCCCCAGCCTCCCATAGCACATGTATAGACGCCCGTATTGTTCAAGCACTACAGTTCATGGTGAGTCTCTCAGAATGCAATGCCCTACTTAGAGCTCCAGGTCCCGGGGTCAGATGATTCCGTCGGAATCCAGGCTTCAGTTTATAAGAACAAGATGTTTATTTCTGAGTGACCGTCCATTGCACAGCCTGACTGTAGGTGTATAGGTGCCAGAGTACTTGAGCTTGGAGACTTTTTGCTTTAGCATTTCCCAGGGACAGTTTTCCCCAAACTAGTGGTGTCTGGGGTATGATTTTTTTTCTGGATTAAAATTGGTGGTGCACTTTGCTCACTGGTCCATGTGCTGGATCTAATTTATGAACCCGATCCTGCTCATGGTGCTAACCCAGCTGGGGCCCAATCCCTCCACATGGGGCCAGTGTGGCTGAGGCCTGATTCAGGCATGTGAGGCCAGCCCAGCAGAAGCACCATCCAGCCCATTTTTCATGGCACACCCTTTGGGACTCACTGCCATAGGACATACCCTAGCCCCCAAAAGGAGATAGAGAGGTATGTGCTTCCCATGCTTTAGTTGCTTTCAAACATTAAATGAAGACAGAACATCAGTTGAATCCATTTTCCCCAGTTTAGGCCCACACTGTGACAGACACGTTGGTGGTAGATATACCGTTCAGTTCAGCTCAGCTCACTACCCACCCCAAATCCCCCTGACTTGAACCTTTTCAGGGACCCTTGTCATGAACTGTAGCTCTACAAGCCATACAATAAGTGACCCTGCACCTCTGGAGAAAGGCTATCTACACAGTTTGTTTTCTGGTCCCAAACAGGAAAGGGAGGACGGTGCCTCATCTGGAGTCCAAAAAACCCTCAAAGATTTCATTCACATACATAAGTTCAAGATGGTTACAATAGTCATCAACATAGCATCTCCACAGAAGAGGGGATTAGGTTGCATCTCTCTCTGTTCTTGGCCAGATTAATTTCTGTACTTACATGATGTTGCATACCAGATACATACACAGGTACGTGGTCCTGATTCCAAGTTGCTCATGCTCTAAGGAAGCATCTAAGATAACAGATTGTTCTTGGCCTTTGGAATACCAAAGCAGATGGTCTCAGCATATTCATATCCCTCCATGACAGATGAGACCTCAAAGATGCCATTCACGAGATGATATTTGTGGACTGGCGTTATCTGCAATAGACCTATTTGTGCCAGACATCATCAGGAAGTCTCAGACCTTCTACTCCAGGACAGGCTTGTGTCCAGGCTCCCTATCCAACATCCTGCTCATTCTGTGGTCAGGAATCCTCCTATATGACTTCTTGACCACAGCTAATTCTATGCCTGCTCTGTAAAGCCAGACAAGATTCAACCTAGACAATCATGCTGGCTCCCATGTGGCCAAGTCCATTCTGGTATCAAGATTTTCTTGCTAATGTTAGTGAGGAACCAAGAAAAATCTTGAGCGAATCCTGGATTCTTTGTTGTTGGGCTCTGATCCAACATGCTTCATCCAGATAGGAACTCCCTACATCTCACAGCCTGGATACTGGAGTGGGAATGCACTGTCCCACTCAAAGACCTCCTTGTTAAATACAGGGAGGACTCAACCGCATGCACTTAGCTAGATAAGTGATCCTGATTCTCAAGATGGTGCCAGGACACTAAAGTCTCCTGGCAATTCTTCCATTCTTACTATAGTGCAGTACTTGTTTGTTCTCAAGTAGACAGACTTGGCCATCCACTTGACCAGAGTCTACAGAGCTGCCATTGTGGCTCACCATCCATTGGGTTCATGACCAAAATGTTTTCTTATGGACTGACAAAGGTCTTGTCTCCAGTTAAAGATGCCAGCCCACTGCAGGATCTAAATGTGGTTCTTCTATTTCTGATGGGGTTGCCATTTGAAGCCACAGCAACATGTGCTTTGCTTCACTTACCCAGGAAACCAGGTTTTTTATTAGCAATTATCTCCACAAGGAGAGTGGGTGCAAGCCAAGCCATCATGGTGGATACCACTTTCTATCCAGAGAAAATACCCTTTGAGGATCTACCTCGACTTCCTGCAGAACCTAGTCACAGAGTTGTGCCTTACTCAACAGGACAGCTCGTTAGCATTCTTCCAAAAACCTCACCCCTCCAGAGCTAAAGTGGAGTTGCACGCACTTGGTATGAAAAGAGCTCCGTCTTTCTGCCTACACAGAACAAAGCCTTTCAGAAAGTTTCCTTGGCTCTGTCTCCCTAGCAAAGAGATCTAAAAGCATGTCAGTATTGACACAGAGACTGTCCGGTTGGGTATCAGACTGTCAGGCTGTCTTGAGACCACCACAGTGGAGTTGCCTTCTGTTACACCAGCTCGTAAGCAACTTCCATAGCCTCCCTCCACAGTGTCTCCGTGACTGATATCTGCAAGGTAGCAACCTGGAGCATCATTCATATCTTCACCAAACAGTGCAGTTGCAGAAGTCTTCATAGAATTATAGAAAATTAGGTTGGAAAGGACCTCGAGGTCATCTAGTCCAACCCCCTGCTCAAAGCAGGACCATCCCCAACTAGATTATCCTAGCCAAGGCTTTGTCGAGCAGGGTCTTAAAAACCTCCAAGGATGGAGATTGCACCACCTCTCTGGGTAACCTGCTCCAGTGCTTCACTACCCTCCTAGTGAAAAAACTCTTCCTAATATCTAACCTCAACTTCCCTTGCTGCAACTTGAGACCATCGCTCCTTGTTCTGCCATCTGCCACAACTGAGAACAATCTAGCTCCATCCTCTTTCGAACCCCCCTTCAGGCAGTTGAAGGCTGCTATTAAATCCACTCTCAGTCTTTTCTTCTGCAGACTAAATAAGCCCAGTTCCTTGAGCCTCTCATCAGAAGTCATGTGTCCCAGCCCCCTCGCCATTTTTGTTGCTTTCTGCTGCACTCTCTCCAACTTGTCCACATCCTTTCTGTAGTGGAGGGCCCAAAACTGAACACACTACTCCAGATTTGGCCTCACCAGTGCAGAATAGGGGGGGATAATCACTTCCCTTGACCTGCTGACAACACACGTCCCAATGCAGTCCAGTATGCTATTAGCCTTCTTGGCAACAAGGGCACGCTGTTGGCTTATATTCATCTTATTGCCCGCTGTAACCCCAGGTCCTTTTCTGCAGAGCTGCTGCCCAGCCTGTCCTGGTGCATGGGATTGTTTTGTCCTA